CCCCCCCCCCGCAAAAAAAAACAAGGAACTTGCTTTGAGCAAGAGGCCAGAAAGGGGCGGGGCCAGCTTGGTTCTACGTCACCCATCCGCACGCCGCCCCGTCCTCCGGATTCAGAGGAGCCTCCCCTCCCCACTTTCCGTCCGGGGCCTCCCGCGCTCCCGAAGCGGCCTCCCGCTCTTCCACCAGGCCGACCCTGCTGAGAAGCCCTTCGGCGGCCCGGCGAACCGCTTCCCGGCGCTCTCACGGCCGCCCCGAGCCAGATGGCGACGGATTAGCCCCTTTCTGCTACTTACATCCTCAGAGCTCGCCCGTTGCTCCTCCGTCGCGCTCGCGGTGACGTCGTTTGCCGCCTTCCGCAGAGCTGGGCGCAGGCGGATGGCGTCAAGACCGGGGGGACAGGAAAAAGGCGCTGGAATCCTTTAGACGCCTCTGTCTCCAAGGTTACGATGCCTCCCTTTTTTTTAAAGGGCCAGACCCGCGAATTTTGCTGTTGGTGGGGGTCGTTTTTAGGAGAAAGCTGGTTTTGCAGCGCAATGAGTGCATGCAAAACCACGAGAACAATCAGTGTATATTAGAGGTGGAGACCCTTTGCAACGAAATTTCATCTTAATGTATGCTCATTAGTGTACAGTCAAATTGATAATAAAGTTATTCTAAGTTCTAAGTTGTAAAAACAAACAAACAATACGCTCCACTTTTGTGTGTGTGTGTGTGTGTGTGTGTGTGTTTTACAAACAACCGAAGGTCGCCCGATTGGTTGGACCACGACTGTCAACTCCCATGGTTTGGAGTCATGGGTGCTGTAATACACACAGCACTCTTCATCTTTTCAAGGATCAACTTGGGAAACGAAAGGGCTTAGATTTTGCAGAAGACCATGCTAGCATGCAGTAGGTTCCAGATGTTTTGGGAGACTGTAAATACCATAGCATGTTCCAGATGCTGTAGAAGAGTGCTAGCATCCAGCAAAAGTTCCAGATGTTGCAGAAGACCATGCCAGCACTACATCAGGTTCCAGATGTTGCAGATCATAGTAGCACCACAGCAGGTTCCAGATGAATCCAGCCGGCTTAATGCCTAAAGCAGGACTAGAACTCACAGTCACCTGGCTTTTAGCCTGGTGCTTTAACCACTACCCTAAAATTGCTCTTATTCACATATAATTGTCATAGTATTACTACTTTGTGATAAAGCATGTTGTGTGAACCCCATCCCTTTCTTTACTGGTCATTAATCCTTTTTTAGGTGCCACAGTAATCTTGAATCGCCATTCAAACAAATGGTTGTAAGTCGAGGTCTACCTGTAGTGCAGGATGAACATTATCTCTTCCTTAAAAGAATCAGCCACTATCATGCCCCTGGTGGACACTCTGAGGGAGAGGAGGAACCGCCAACAGGGAGTGGAAGTGTGGCTCCAGAGGTTGTGGAGGAGGCTGGGGAAGGGCAGAGGCCGGCTGAGCTGTCAGAGGACCCAGGCCTATCCCCTATCCATCCTAAGGCATGCAGGGAGGAGAAGATAAGGGAGAGAGGTGGTCTACTTGGGAGGAGAGGGCCTTAATCCTCTTCATGGGCTGCAAGTGTGAGAACTGCATAAGAGTTTGGACCTGTGTACTGGCAAATTCTGGAAACAACATGTGTTTTATTTTGGTTTGAGGTTATCTTGGTTGACGTCCTTCCAACAGACTGTGCCTTGTTATCTCCTTGAATTTGATAAATATTTCTCCTGTTCGTTGTGGAAATTTTGTCACTGTAGTTTGGTTTTTTATTTCACCTCTATCTGCTCATTAAATTCGGACTGTATTGCTTTCTTTTGAAGACTATTTTTGAGTATGTTTTATCTCCAACTGAGTATTATTGAACAGTGGGGCCAAATTGGAGGCATTAAAGGACATTTATTTACATTTTGGATTTTGTTATGTTTGTGTTACACTCTGGGTCATCACAGCCACACATACAGTACATGCTTCTAGTTGTCAGCTCCCAAGTGGTGAAGGTCTCAGTTGCTTAGCATAACTAGGATAGCAAAGTGAAGGTATTCCCTCATTTGTATAGGACCCTTTGCTTTGATTGTGACAAGGAGAACAAAAGATCAAGCCATCCATTTCCAAAGAAAGTTGAAAAAGAGGGGTGGGGGAAGCTCTAAAGTATTGTCAGGAGGAGAAACTTCAGATTTCTTGATAGGTCTCATACCTGAAAAATCAATCATCAAGCTGCGTTTGGACTCCCAACTTTTTATTTATTTTTCAGTCCATTCATATGCCACCCAGTCCTTCTGACTCCCCGTGGCTCACAACAAATAAAACACAATCAATCAAAAGCAACATAAATACATTTCCAGCCCAAGGACAGCAAAAACAAACATCATAAGATCTCAGTGATCATAGGACAAAGAAGAATGAATAAGCAATGAACCATTTGTTTCACAACAGCCCGAATGCCAGAACTGGAAAAACCAAGAGCAGTGTATGAGTTTTTAAAAAATTGAAGAAAAAAAAAAGTAGGACGGTGATAGGGCTCCAATCGGCGAGCTGAGGCCATTTCTAGTGTCATTAAGTCACTGAGCCAATCCCCCTCTGCTGTCACCGTCATCTTCCTTATTTCCACAGCAGAGGTCTCCAAACCTTGCAACCTGGCAACAACCAACCCCCACCTCCATCCTGCCTGAGGAACTCTGGGAGTTGAAGTCCACAAGTCTTAAAAGTTGCCCAGTTTGGAGACCCCTGTTCTACCGGAGCAAAAAATATTGCATCTGGATGGGAAATTAAATTAGCAATTGCTGCAATGTTAGGAGATCAGCAGAGGGCAGTAGCTGATTAAAAGTTGAACACCCCCCCCCCCCAAAAAAAACCCTGCAGCTTCTACAAACTCTGTTAAATCAAGTGTGCCTGAAAGCAAATGTCACACCTACCCGTTTGATTAAGTTTCTTTACTGATCTAAGTAACATTATCAATGCTACAAGGCCTTCTAGCACTGATGATGTTATCTAGCTGGGTAGTGAAACAGCTGCAAGAATACAGTCAAGTTCACGGAGCACTAAGTACCCCCTATTCACTTCTTTAGAGGCGTAAAAAGCTGGTTCTGGGACAGCACATTTCAGATAACTGAAGTTGGGCTTTGTCCCACGGAAGATTGCCTTCACAGTTTATACCATCTTCACTTTTTGCCATTGCTTTGGGTTTTAATTTTTGCTGTGCTCTTCTTGATGCGAACAAGAAATTCACATCTGCAGAGCTAATAGCTATGCAAGCAAGGTGAAGACTACAAACAACAGTTTACTATACAAATTCCTGAGTTTCCATCTGGGGAGAGTGGAATCTTTGGACAAAGGTGACCTCTTTTTATTTTTATTTCTTTTCCTTTTGCTTATGTACTGTTTCTTAGAAAATGGGAGGTGAGGACAGGAACCTGCCTGCAGTCCAGTTACCCACAGCTGAAAATGTCAACTGAACCAACTGTGTTGTGAAAAGGTTTGCCTGAACTGATCTTTCCTGTTTCCCGAACTAGGAAATGAACTTGAGACTTTCTCTGCTTGGAAAGCAGGCACCTTCCCCCCTTTTCACAAACACATTTGAGGCATTCATTGTCAGTGGCAACACACCTCTCGACTAAGACAGTCCATTCCTTAGGAGAGCAAAGCCATTTTAGATCCAATTAACAATCCATGAAGGTGAGGTAACTTGAGCAGATTTCCGCCTTCGCCACTCCTTTCCTCTTCTGAAAAAATAATACTGGATTTATTAGAATTGAATCAAAGGCTTTCTGCCTCTTAAAAAAAAAGTTTTTCTTCTCTGTTTTCTCTCTCTCTTTCTTTCTCATTATTTCCTTTCTCTCTCGTTTTTCTTCTTACTTTCTTTCTCTCTCTCTCTCTCCCTTTCTTTTTTCTCTGATTGTGATGAGCAAAGCACTTTAACCCCCACTGACAAATTAGGGGGAGGAAATAATCACTTTGGCTACACATTTATTTTTTATTTTTATGGTGGGTGTGGAAAATATCATGGCACCCCCACCAATTTTTTCACTCAACCTGGCAGTGAGAGATGCTTGTAGAAACGAAGAGGTAGGTTTTCTCACACTCCATGGGAGAGCAGAAAAACAACATCCTCAACATAAATACTCCAGGAATTTGATCCGTTTTACACTGTGGTCAGTTGGCTGGAACGTTCTTCTGAGATTTACCTCTTCCTTAGATCCCAAATAGCCTTTTTCTTTACGGAGGCGCTTCCTGGTAGTCAAATGGCTGAAATAATCTCACAGCGATCGCTCAGTTCAATGTTGTTGTAATTCTGCGGTCTGAAAAACCCAGAAGGAAATAGATTAGGAAAATAGTGTGACTTCATTTGCTTAATGACATGGGCAGGCTGTTTCTGCTCTGCTTATCATAACAGAAAGCACAGAGATTAGAATCACAGAATTACAGGGACCTTGGAGGTCTTCTAGTCCAACCCCCTGCTTAGGCAGGAAACCCTATACCAATTCAGACAAAATGGTTATCCAATCTTTTTTTAAAAAAACTTCCAATGTTGGAGCATTTACAACTTCTGGAGGCAAGTTGTTCCACTGATTAATTGTTCTAACTGTCTTGAACTTACAATCATTCGTTTAGTGACTGTCCAAAGTGTCATGCCCTGTTGGAATCTGATTCTGAGGGAGAGGTGGAACAGCTGACAGGGAGTGGGAGTGTGGCTCCGATGGCTGTGAAGGAAACTGGGGAAGGGCACAGTCCGGCTGGGCATTCAGAGGAAGACCCAGGCCCACCCCCTCTTCATCCTAGGGTACACAGGGAGGAACAGAGAAGGGAGTAACATGGGCTACGGGGGAGAAAAAGGCCCTGATTCTCTTCATTAGCTGCAGCTGGGAAAACAGGCCTTCCATCGTTCCGTGGTGGGTAAAATGAGAATATGCTGACTCTGTAAACCGCTTAGAGACGACTGGAAATACTGTGAAGCAGTATATAAGTCTAAATGCTATTGCTATATACTCTTTATACAATAGCATGTTGTGTAGTGATAATTATATCTGCATATATTTCTTCTTAGGTATGTATACGCAAGCATTTCCCCATCAAACCTGATTGAAAGTTTTTGGAAAGAGAAAGAACTGCTAAAACATATTTTCATGCTTGTACTACAAAAGCATCAAGGAAACTGGAACTTGAGCTCTGGTGAAGAATATCGGAAATGTGGCCAAATGAGTAAACAAATACTTACAGTATTTATATACTATATTATTAGCATTATAACTTCGAACACACATTAAAGGAATGGCTGTAAGTTGAGGAATACCTCTATTGCCCAACACATTAAGTGGGTACCGTATTGGGCAAAGACGCCCATATAGAAAGATGGAGTCAGGTTCATATTGGAATATATGTTGTTAGGTTCATATTTTGGTTCCTAGATTTGGCTTTCGCACAAATCCCAAAACCAGCTCTTTTTTTTTTTTTTTTTACCTTTTTATACAATAGACAGCTCCACCGATTAACAGTAGTATGAACGAAATGGAACCCAAGATCAAAAAAGCAATTTTCCAAGCTTGAAATGAAGCTGTGGAAAAAGAGGAAAAACGGTATTGTTAATATAAGGGCTAAGTTCATCCATAGTTTCCTTTAATGGTTTATGGAATCAGTGGCAAACTGTGCACCCAAAACAAGAAAACACTATTGGGAGCTTTGAATCCCCAAAAATAAAACTGACAATTATCTGTCATAAACGCTGAAGGTCCAAAAACAATTAAATCACAACGCTTTAGGATATACATGCTGAGCTTTTCAGAATATTGCTAGGTGGGCCCAACTCATTTCTGAATGAATAATTTGGTACAGAATAAAATGCCCTGTATTTTAACAGTCATGAGGTTTCTAAATCAAATTTATCTAGATCGCATGACAGTTTATTTTCAATTCAGAACATCGCAAAACAAAAAGGTCCCTTCATTCATAATTGGATCCTTGGGGGTTTTCTCTATAACATTTACACTGAAAAAAAAATCCATAAATATAAATGATTAATTAGGATTGCAGCCACCAAATATTTGATCTGTCAGGATTCTAGCAATCGCTCTAATTAAATCATGATTCTGGAGCCAACCTTCAATAAACTTCAAAGGATTCATTAGAGGCGACCTACTGGCCCTGCCCTGTATGAAGCCAACTCTGGCATACGTAATTTACAGTCCCCTGTGACCCTGTTTCCCCCCTCCCCCCTGGGTGTGTCATAAATCAGATTCTCCAACCGAGCACATTCACAGGCTGGGTATCATCATTCACACTCTCCAATTAAATATATTCGTGGACAAAAGCTCTGGTATTTTAGTCACAATCTTTTAAAGATAAGAGTTGGAATGTACTTTCGCTTTCAACTGCTCTTCCAGATTTCCCCCATTTTTTAATGGCAACTACTAAAACACGCATAGGAATATTTTATGAGTTGACATGGTCACTACCTGACCGGATTACCTTTAGATATTGGTACCACTTCACTGGAAGGTGCGCAGGGTGCATTAGTTCTGAGGAATATCCCATCCACAGAAAATGGGTGGGAACTTAAGGAGAAATTCTGTTGCCATTGGATAAGGAGCTGCCGCTCTTCGGGTGATGTGGTCAGCATCCGACCAGACAGCTTCAATAGGGTATCAGAGCAAGTGAAATTCAGTTCTTTGGAAAGACAAGAAAGATGTACAGCTAGTCAGGCTTGGAAGATCAGGTCCATACATGAAGGTCCAATTAAAGTGATCTAGTGTGGGATGGCTCAGTGGTTAAAGATAGTGAGCTTGTCAGCTGGAAAGTTAACAGCCTGCGTTCAAGACCCAAGCACTGCACGATGGGATGAGTTCCTGTTATTTGCTCCAGCTCCTACCCACCTAACAAACCTAAAGCATGAAAATGCGAGTAGATAAATAGGTACCACTTCGTGGGAAGGTAACAGCTTTCATGCACCTTTGGCGTGTATCCATGCTGGCCACATGACCACCAAAGCATCTTCAAACAATGCTGGCTCCCTTAGCTAGGAAACGGAGATGACCACTGGGTCCTAGAACTGGACATGACTGGACAGGGGAAAACTTTACCTTTATTGCTAAATTGCTAGACAATTTAAAATTGAATGAAAAACACTGGCAATACAATTATTCTCCATACAGAGAATCATTTCTCCTTTCTCATTAACAATTGCAAAATGTGATAATAGGCAATTTTTATAGGAGCTCTGGGCATGGCATTTTAGGCTGTTTAAGGAGACCAATTTCTACATCCCTGCTTAAAACCAAGGGAGGAATATCTATGTCCTTCCAAACTATGTTAGATTGATAGTAGCTACCACCATCTTGATCATTTGGCTTTTCTGGCAGGGAACGATGGGCGCAGATATACAGTCAAATCTGAGCCACCACAGATTCCCCATATTAGCTTGAAAAGTTCTGAAACAGAGGTACAGCTAGAAAGCAATAACATTATTTCCACTGGCCATGACATGAATGTATTGTCCCCAGAAATATCAATCAGGAAGCAATATCAATCAATATGATGCTATGTTAAAAAAAATATGTTGGACACAAACCTTGCAAAGCACAGAGAGATATAGCACATAAACAGCTGTCTTCCATGGATCTCACTAGTGTCTGCTGGAAGTGAGCTTGTAGATGTGGATTTTGAAGCCAGAAAGAACAGTCTACCAAGAGAAGAATAGCCATCTTAAGCACCTGATTCTGGGCAACATACATTTATATATAAAAGCAAAGAGCAATATAAAAATCATACATTAAAAACATATTTTAAGACACTCCTTGGTGTAGTGGTGAAAGCACCAGGCTAGAGAATGGGAGATCATGAGTTCTAGTCCCACCTTAGCCATGAAGCCAGTCACTGTTCCTCAACCCCAAGTAGAAGGCAAGGCCAAATCAGTTCTGAAAAACATTGCTAAGAATAATGCAAGGACTAGTCCATGCAGTTGCTAGAAGTCAAAAACGGGTGCAAAGGCAAACGGAAAAAACAATCCACTCCACAAAAAAACTAGTATGGGCTTTTGACATGACCCAATGATACCAAAACTCTTTTTCTTGGTTGTGTCTACAGCAGGTATAGTAGCATCATGCCTCCTTCTGGGAAAAGAACTGAGGTGTCAGGCCCAAAACTAAGAATAACATATGGCAATTCTTTCAAGATGGGTATTGTTTCACACCCATTGACAAAAAACTTGTCACACTGTGAATTCTACTATCTGCATTGACAATGTACTCTGGAAACTATTAGGGAGAGGCTGTCTTCACTCTCTTTCTCCCACACATGCAGGAGTGGGATTCTACAGGTTCGCACCTATTCGCTAGAACCGGTTGTTAACATTCCAAGCAGTTTGGAGAACCAGTTGTTAGAAGAAATTACTGGCCTAATCCTGTAAGGAAGGCAGGAAGGAAACATTCTGGTGTTGCTTACAGAAACTGCCTCTCTCTTAACCCTTATTACATTCTTGGCAGGAATGGACTTCCTGTCTCTGGAACCTCTCTGGAGTTTTTTTTTCCCCTCCTTTGCTGGTACTTTGCTTGTGTGGAGTGATCATTCAAAGTTACAATGGCACTGACAAAAGTGATTTATGACATTTACGACTGTTGCAGCATCCCCACAGTCATAAGAGGCCAGGCGAGGAGATGCGTGCCTCAATGTGAGTGATGTTCAGCTGACCACACCCAGCCAGTCACATGACCACCAAGCCATGCCCACCACCTAAACCACGCCCACAGAACTGGTTGTTAAAAAAAATTGAATCCCACCTCTGCACACATGATATCTGGGATGCTTCTTATTCCTCTGGAATGTACTCCCTCCTTCCTGGAAATCTTCCCTACATTCCATCACCTCATGTGTGGACTTCAACTCTCAGAACCCCTCAGGCACCATGTGTGGACTTCAATTCCCAGAATCCCTCAGTTACCATGTGTCAGGCCCCAAACCAGGACTAACATGTGGTGATTCTTCCAGGCTGAGTTCTTTATTGTTTCACACATATAGACAAAATCTTGCCAGACTGGAGATTTTCCTGTCTGCATCTACAGTATAATATGGGAAGTATTGAGGAGAGGCTGTCTTCGCCCTCTTTCTCTCACACAGGATATCTGGACTGCATTGCCTCTTACTGCAGCCTTCCCTGCTCAAGATCTGCCTCCCCGCCACATTCCATCACACAAGGGATGACCTCATTCTGTCCAGTTGCACGCGAGACAAAAAAGACAGCTTACTAGGGGTCCATAGGCACATTCTAAGATCCAAAGACAGAGATTCTTGAGGACAGCTATTCTCCATGCCTGGGGTGGGTTTGGAGATGAGGAAAGTTTCTTTGCAAAAAGGGCAGTAACTCGATGACCAGATTCTGCAAAAAGCAAACACAAAACATTTGTAGCACGGAAAATATTCAAGGATGGTTCAGTAGATGCAGTTAAGAAACTGTTCTGGTCCGCCGGCGGCCTGCGAAACTGGCAGCAGAGTCGGACAGTGGGGAGGAACATGGGCCAGGCCTGGAATATGGGGAGGGCTTGGATGACACAGAGATGGGGCCAGGGCCACCTGAGAATTATGTGCTGACTCCGGAGCCTCCAGAATCTGACATCAGTGAGGCAGAGGAACAGGGGGAGCCTGTTCCCAGTGCGTGTGTGCGCAGAGCTGCCAGAAGGCAAGAACAGTTAGGACAAAAGGGGCAACTCAGGAGTAAGGCTTGGAGATGATTGGCCCCTCCCATAAGACATAAAGGAGGAGTAAAGGGACACGAGCCTTTGCAGGAAGCAACTTTGTTTATTCTGGTTGGTTTAAACTCTGAAGCTCCATGTGGACTTTGTGCTCCAAATGGCCTTGTACAACTAATTGGCAATTTAGTCATTGGCAGCATTTCAAGGGAGATAAAGGTGGGTGCTTATCAGCCTTATCCCGAAAGACTGTGGAAGACTTCTGTTGGACTATTCATAAACTGTTTGGGACTCATTACGGACTGTGAATGCATATAACTCACAGCCATTGAAATAAAACAAAAGATTTTTGGGAACAGCGTGTGATTGTTACTGTCTCAGGAAGCCTTGGTCAGAACAGACACTGGGCTTGTAGACCAGAAGGTTGACAGTTTGAGACCGAAGCACCACATGATGGAGTGACCCCCTGTTTTGGCCCAGCTCCTGCCCACCTAGCAGTTCGAAAGCAGACAAATGCGAGTAGATAAATAGGTACCACTTCAGTGGGACAATAACAGTGTTCCGTGACATCTTGACATATAGTTGCGCTGGCCACATGACCACGGAAATGTTTTCAGACAGCGCTGTTTCCCTTGGCTAGGACACAGAGATGAGTACCACCCCTAGAGTTGGACACAACTGGATGGGGGAAACCTTTATCTCACCCTTCACCTTTAATGGTGTGTGAGAATGACCTTGGGAGAAGAAGGAAGAGCTGCAGACCATAGCTGCATAAGAGGCAACCAAGCCCGCAGAAGAAATGTGGGCATGGCAAAGTCTTAGAAGGGACCCCCCCACTTAGTTTTTACAAAAAGAAATGCAGAATAGGAGTAGAAATAACAAGACGCTGTGGATATGCTCACCTTTCTCTTTTCCCAGGTATAGAGAGCATCTGAGAGATCGTCCCAGGGTTCCACACCAAACTGTCTTCTAGTTTCTCGGCAATATTTAGAGTGCCATATGGAAGTCGTACTTTACGGCTGAATAGGGCTACAGTTAGGATCTCCTGCTTCGGGAATGGGTGATTCCAGAGAGTGGGCATCACCAACTGCTCTGGAAAGAAACGGGATAAAATTAATGAAGGACCAGCATTAAAAAAAACCAAAGCAGTAAATAATTTATTTAAGTACATGA